GTGGGGGGGGGGGTAACTAGAGACAACCTTTACTATCTTCTGTTGATCTCCTCTGGCTCGACTTTGACCGTTGGTCGATCGTTTACAGCCGACATAAATGCAACTGACTGCGCATTGCTTAGAAAACAAAACGCACAGACTTCAATAGCTGACGTGGATAAACTATGTAAATCATACACATAATATTTCAATGTAGTATAATTTTTATTTCCACATGTTTAGAAAATCATGCCTGTTAGACAGTACTACTAAATTGTATTACTAAATTCTTGGATCCCTTCACGGAAAATCATGTTTTTTACCTCCCGCTTGAAAATCAGGACGGTAATAGTAATCGATATGTCCACCCGTCTGTCTGTCTGTTACGCTTTGGGGAACCCGTCCTTTATCCGCATATATTTTTTTATCACTTAGTGATATTTAATGAATACATAGATTATTTATTTAATATTGCCATAATGCACCTTCTCTTTTACTTTTTGATCCGGCGCATTTTTTCGGGTTCCTAAAGAAACAACCTTTTAAGGTTCTCACCTCTTTTCATCTAGAAGAATCAAATTCCGAAGCCTGTCTGATACAATCATATGTTAAAAATTATTATATAGTCATGAAAATTATTAAAATATTTCAAATTATCAAGTGAACGATACATGATGAAGTTCAAATTGATTAAATTGAGTTTTGGCAGGATTAAGTAAACAGTTTTCGGACAAGAGAATTCAAAGATTCTAATTAACGTAACGTTAAAATCAGTAAGGCCGTGATGACATTATAGCGTCAAAAGTTGTAAGTATTGAAGAAAATGCATCACTTTTGGAGACTTCTGACGAAAAAACGGTTTGAGGTAATTTAAAAAAATTAAAAGATTTTGAAAGGACACATTTGGGCATGTTTTAACAAGCTTCAATCAAATTAAGGGTCAGGGCCGCCTCATTATACATACCGTACCCACTTCTTATTTAATTTCATTTATTTTCATTTACCAGAATTAAAAAACTTCAGATCCTTTGTCAGTTTTCTCTAGAAAAGTGTGGAATAAGTTAGTGTCATCCATTCGTGTAAAATCCCCATCGTGTTTAATGTGTTTTTCTTATTTTTTGCGCAAATAGAACTTCGTTTTCTTAATTACTGAAATCATTATAAATTATTTTTGCCATTAAGCCCTATTGTATATTTTTCCATTTGATGTCAAGTATGAGTCATTTGTCAACAAAAACAGCTTAATTTTAAGAACGTCTCCAGTCCTGTTTTTCAGGTATTTTATTTTATTTTCCTTTATTTTTATGTTTTATTCAGGAAAAGTTTCATAAGGAATAAAATTGTAGAAATTGAAAGCCAAAACAATAGTCGTTTGTATGGAATATAATTCTGCAGATCTGTCATTATTTTTAGTAAATCAAATTTTTTGTGTCACACTTTTTTAATTTTTTTTTTTTTTATACATTTTAATGGATTTAAGGAAACAGCTTATCTTGATTACTGTTGTTATTCCTTTGGTAAAAAGAACTAGATATATTTACTGAAAACAATTTAAAGAATTAGTCAACTGCAAAAAAACCATGACAGGGACAAAAAAACTACTCCAATTATATTTTCCCCCTTCAATTTTTTGAGTTTATTTAAATTAAATTATTTTCTCGAAGGGACAATAAAGCAAAAATAAAAAAAAAATGAATACCTCTTTTTCGTTGTAATCGAGTTTCAAGTATCCGAAGATGTCTGAAACATTAAATATTAACAAGAATTATTTTTTTCTATAGTTGCCAATTATCTGATTGGCTCAAAGTAGATTACATGATCAAGTGGCCCATGGGCCTCATCGCTCACCGGAGCATTTTGGCTAAGTAAAAGGAATTAGTTTATTATTGAAAAGTTTACACCCAAAAGTAGTCCCAACCAGGGGAGAGGGTATAGTTTGATCGGATCTACACTACCCAAGAATGCTTCATATAAATATGATCAATCATTACTGCAAAGAAGATTTTAAAAGAATTTTCCTATATTTTTCCATTTTTTTTAATTTGGTCAGCCATTGTGGCCCCTCCCTACCACAGGTGGTTATGATTTGAACAGACTTGAATCTACCCTACTGGAGGATGCTTCCATATAATATGATAAATCAAGGCTTTGTTTTTCTTCAGAAGATTTTTTTTCAAAATATATATATTTTTATGTAAAATTTTGATCAGTCATTGTGGCCCCACCCAACATTCGGGGGTCATAATTCGAACAACCTTGAAACTATACTACCTGATGATGCTTCCATATAAATATGATTAATCATGGCTTTCTTATTCTTGAAAAAAAGATTTTTAAAGAATTTTAATATATATTTCTAGGTAAAAACTTGGTCTGCCATTGTGGCGCCACCTTCCCAGGGGTCATGATTTGAACAAACTTGAATTTACACTACACTAACTGAAGATGCTTCCATATGAATATGATCAATCATGTCTTTGTTAATCTTAAAAAGAAGATTTTAAAAGTATTTTCCTATATATTTCTATGTAAAAAAAATTATTGGCTATTATCGCCGATTTCAACAAAAATGAATTTATAAAGTAGGGGGGGGGGGCTGTTTCCCCATAAGTTTTATCTTTTCTGGCACAGTTTTTCTTGAGAAGAAGATTTTTAAAACATGCCACCAAAATTTCACTATTTCTGAATTATCTACCCTTGAAATAGGGCATGGCCCTTCATTTGAACAAACTTGAATACCCTTCATCCAAGGATGCTTTGTAACAAGTTTTGTTGAAATTTGTGGTTGTAGAGAAGAATTCGAAAATGTGAAAAATTTACATACAGACAGAAAGACGAACAGCTAGTCGGACAGACGGACGCCGGACAAAATGTGGTCAGAAAAGCTCACCTGAGCCGAAAGCTTTATTTAAATCCGAAGGTTACATACTAGATGTTTCTATTTTCTTTTTAAAATTACAAACCTTCTGTTTCTAAAATTGGAAAGGTTCTTCTATGAAGAACAATTGTGCTGAAGTCACAATAGTCTTATAAACTGGATGTTTTTAAAAACTGATACTGCAGCTGCTTTTCGCTGCTGTGACGTCATAAAGCAAATGACATAACAATGCCCTATATGAGAAGGTATTGAGTATTGGAAACAAGGATTTTTAGTCATTTCTTTTTAACTGATAAAAAAATTAAAACAACTGTAGCATGTTGATTTGGTTCAATCCCTAGATATATAGACCTAAGAGAAAGCATATGGACCGAGCACTTTCTGTTAGGTCTATATAATTTAATTTCACTTGTTTCAAGCAATTTCATTGGCTGAATCATTCAGAGGAACATATAATATTTTGGATAACATAACTTGCCTACGTCACAATGAGTTACGTCAAAATGTATTACTCCGCTTGACGTTACTTTTAAAATAATGCTCAATTTGAAGTCTTTTTCCGGAGTAAATATTGTCTCATTGTCTACACTGGAATTAAATTATAAGAAATGAAGCTTATTTCAACTTATGTTATCCGATATAACAAAACTTGGGGCAGCTTACGCTTTTTTATAAACCGCTTCGCGGTTTATAAAGCGTAAACTGCCCCAAGTTAGGTTATATCGGATAACATAAGTTGAAATAAGCTTCATTCCTTAAATATCTAGGGATCGACCTCATTAAAAGGCTATAATTGTATATGAAAAAACAACATTAAATAAAAACAGAATCGGACAAAAGAGTTATTCATACCATTTCCTAGATCTGGCAGATGGTCAGGGTAGTAAAAGTAACGAGGCCCTTGCTTCGGTTCACTTTTCAACTCAGAAATCCTCGCCTTCATTTCCCCCTCCTCGGTTTTCAGTAAAACAGCATGGCGTGCAATTGTTGCCTTATAATTGCATATATGTTTTACCTCACCACATCTACGATCTTATAAAAAGAATAAAAATGAAAAAAAAAATAAAAAGATCAAAAGAAAAGAGAGAAAACGACAACATGCATGAAAATACTTTTGTATTTTGTAGTGATTTACTAAAAAAAAAAATAAATTAAATAATTTCAGAACTTTTTCAGAAAATATCGTTTATGAAGACCCCCCACTGGGTGAAAAAAGTGGTTTCCCATCATGGGAAACTTTATGGAAACCACATGGAAACCTCAAGTTTACATCATGTTTCCCAGTGGTTTCCGTAGCGGATGCTAGGTTATTCCGCCAGGTTTCCGTGACACGGAAACCCCCTACGCTCCGATTCCATAAGGTATCCCGAACCACGGAAACCTCTGTAAACCTGAAGTTTCCCGAACATCCACGTAGTTTCCCGTAATGGGAAACCTGAAGATTCCACTGGTTTCCAGAATCAGGAAACTTGATGGAATCGGAGCGTAGGGGGTTTCCATGGAAATGAAACTTTGTGGAATCTTTAGGTTTCCTTATACGGGAAACTACATGGAAGCTCGGGAAACCTCACGATTCCTAAAGTTTCCTTACTCAGGAAACTATATGGAATCGGAGCGTAGGGGGTTTCCGTGGAATGGAAACTTGATGGAATCTTTAGGTTTCCTTATACGGGAAACTACATAGAAGCTCGGGAAACCTCACGATTCTTAAGTTTCCTCGACTCAGGAAACCATATGGAATATGAGCCTAGTGGTTTCCGTGGAATGGAAACTTGATGGAATCTTAAGGGTTTTTTTTATCGGAAACATGGAAGCTCGTGAAACCTTATGATTCCTGAAGTTCCTTGACTCAGGAAACTATATGGAACTTGTGTAGCACTTTCTGTGTGGCGGAAACTTGGTGGAATTATCTGGAGTCCCATTCCTGTGGAAATTACTGGGAAACTTCAAGATTCCCCAACTTTTCTAAAGGAAGCAATGTGAAATAATGCGTATTCTTTTAAAAATCTATCAAAAAAATTTATTACATGTAAAAGAAAAAAGCATTACCATTTTAAATATTTAATAATTCATTTGATGTACAAAAACTGTAACTGAATTTTTCAAGGATATCAAAATATTAAATAAATTCATATATCTTAGATAAACAATAGACAGTCTTTCACATTCAAGTCCATTCATAAGGGTCATTAAGTACTTCTTTCAACATCAGTTTCCTGGTTTTCTTCACATCACCTATGATCTGCAATATTCATACAAAATTATTATATGATGTCAGAATTATAATGCTTGATAACTTAGAAATCTGAAAGATCAGTCAATGTCCTTTAATATACCAATATCAATAATTACTTTCCATGACCATGATACATATGATTTCAGCATTTAATTTATCTCTTTAATATTCAATGCTTTATGATTAGTGAAAAAAAGAACATAATATAAATAATGTTTTCAGCCTTATTATGTCATTGAGAATATATTACTACATGTATCTCATACTACGAACCCTGCTTTAAATTTGATTAGTTTGAGAGAAAACATACCCTTTATAATAACAAAAATATTAGGGAGAGATTTTTTTAATTAATTTTGATATACAACCTATAAATTGGTTGAAGTCAAGATCATTGCAGACCCTCCACCCCATTAGACAAAAGCTAGATTACACCAGGGGAGAAATATACTCTGGAATACGAATTTAAATAAAGATATACAGTACATTTTGATACTGACCTTTGACCTAGAAAATTAGTCCAAGGTCACATGGAGTGATGGGTAGACACTGTCTGAGGGCATCCACAGAACAGGACCTAAAAATAATGCAATATATATGTATTAAAGTATAAATACACATGTACTTGTATGTTAATGATTTATCATATGCTGCATTGGACACATACGATTTTATCATGGTTTAAGTATCCATGTATCTTATGAGTAATTTTATACCGGTATTGCATGTATGCTCAGTTTATTTAAGAAATAAATAACAAGTTTATAAACTTCAATTGGAGAGATACCACAAATCTATAAATAAACAAGTAATTTAATTTTTTTTTTTTTACATATATTGACCAACATTATTTACATCCATTCATCATGTTCATGAATTGGCTGATCAATATTCAGTCAGTTTTAGATCTATATGATATACCATAAAGGACTTTGAAGTTTCACATTTACAAAAGTTATTCCCCTTCGCAGGGTCGATCTGGGGTCAACCGGCTTAACACGCTGTTTTCCCTCTTTAACCGTATCAACGCTGAGAGACAATATCTTAGAAATAAAATCTGTATGAACATATTCATTATGATTTTCATGTTGTCTCCATACTCTGGCAATACAGATCGTAATTGTCCAATATTTTTGAAGATTAACAATATATTAACAAGTAACTTACAAAGGACAAAGTGGAAAAAATGAGCGATACGCCGACAATTGGAGAAAACTCTTAGGAATGTGAAATTCGTCTGTTGGTGATGACAATTCCTGTTTTAATGTCACTGAAAAATTAAGAGACATTAAATATTTAAGACCTGATTGTCATACACGCATGCTGTTTTTTCATCCATATGACCTTTTAGTATCATAAAATTTACCAAAATTTAATACTTCAAATAATTTCATTGAATATCTATAAAATAAAGGAAACTCTAAAAACTTAGTGACTTGCAGAAATTATTCCTTGGAGAGAAAAAAATCTATCATATTTCATATAAATATATGCATAATGAGCCTTTTTTATGCATTTAGAACATATGGTATGTGCCTCATTTCCCCTAAGAAATTTTCAAAGACAATGGACTATGACTGTAAGCAGAAATCATTGCTGTTTACTTACATTGGAAAAATTTATGAAAACAAGAGGCCCAGGGGCCACAGCGCACACCTGAGCACATCGGGCTTGAATTTACCCCCCCCCCCCAGGCGTTCATCATTTGAACAAACTAAAATCTACACTACCTGAACCTGAGGATGATTCCATATAAATATCACTAATCATAGCTTTGAAGTTCTTGAAAAGAAGATTTTAAAAGGTTTATCTATATATCCCTATGTAAAACTTGAGTCGGCCATTTTGGCCCCACCCTTGCCCCAGGGGTAATGATTTGAACAAACTTGAATCTACACTACCTTAGGATGATTCCACATGAGTTTCATCTTTTCTGGCTCAGTGGTTCTGGAGAAGAAGATTTTTAAAGATTTTTCTTATATATGCCTATGTAAAACTTGGAAAAGGGCGTGGTCCTTCATTTGAACAAACTTGAATCCCCTTCACCCAAGGATACTTTGTGCTAAGTTTGGTTGAAATTGGCCCAGTGGTTTTTGAGAAGAAGATGAAAATGTGAAAACAAATGGAAAAGTTTACAACGACAACAACGACAGGCAACGGACAAATTTTGATCAGAAAAGCTCACTTGAGCCTTCGGCTCAGGTGAGCTAATAACTAATTTCCTATTTTTTTAATTTTAAATAATGCTAAAAATAATTTAATCTATCAAAAATAATTTAACTGAATGTAAAATAACATTTTTCATAATCTTAATCTAAGGGCAGATCACTCTAACTTCATAAAACTACCTGATATTAAAGTAGAACTCTTTAGTTTTTAGAGCTTCCTTTCAGTAATCAAAATACTGACCAGCAAGAAATCAGTTAATAAGCATTTCCTTTTTTTTCATTCATTTTTATTCGAAAGATCTCCGAGTTTTTTTTCTTTTCAATTGAGTTTCAAGATGACAAAGTTTTATTGAAGTGTATGTATTAGAGAACTGATTGTATGTCAATCATAGCAATACACACATTAACATGGAGGGGGCAAATTGTTTCAGCCCTAGCTTTTACATAAAACTTCTTATAGCTCACAGCTGATATACCACAGTTCAGTATTTAAATAAAATTTAGAATCTTTTTTTCAGGCAATTGTCATATACATACTAATCATGAATGAATTACCACTTACCAAATCCTGAATCATCATACATTTTCTATGATTTTATCTCACTGGTTTCTTTTAACGTCACACAGTTTTCTTCTCTCTGAAATGATAAATTATGTCCAGGTACTATTGCATTCTAATTTAAACTAATTATGTAATAGCATTAGCAACAACCGGGATGGAAGAAAAATAACCAGAGGTCTCTGTCGAGACTGTAGCTCTACTGGTTTGTACTTATCAAAGACTGATGCACAGAATTATGTATAGTCTACTTGTTTGCCAAGTTATATTGAAATCAGACTAAAATTTAAGGAGGAGTAGTGTTTGCAGACAGACAGACAGACGGACGGACGCTGGACGCATTACTATCGCATAAACTCTTCTGGTCTCTGACCAGTAGAGCTAAAACAAGATGCGCTTGTGAAACACATCAACAAAGTTCAAAATTGCAATTTTTTTTTAGCATACAGGTCTCAGTCAAGATCACATAATCATTGTCCTTGTTGCCATTTGAAAGCACTTCATTAGTGGAGTATGCATACTAAATATGATGCCACTATCTCATATAGTTCTAAAGTTATGGTGAAGGTTTAAGTTGACAACAGACACTCAGACAGACACACAGATATACAGTTATGGCAAAAGTTTGAACATTATAACTTGGTATACACACAGCCACTTCATTAATTAATTGGATTTTCGTATTTATATGGATTATTTTTTGGGATAAGAGGCATAAGCACTCTCAAAAAGGTTTGTTTTGATTATTTTGGTAGTTATTCCCAGTGCAAATCATTTTATATTCTTCAAAATCGTTTCGGAGCGGATCCGCTCCGATCTGCTACATTGCAAGTATATGGGACGTATTCTAACTGTGGTGAGGGCTTGTACCGAGACACAGTTAGATTATTCTAACTAGCTACAATCTATTTCTACTGTTCTGATGAGGATATCCTTCAGTTCATGAATAATCGGATAAGCTGAGATTGAAGACACTTTTTGTAAAAATATTGATGCTTTTATGAAAGTTTTGAACCAAAAATATTTAATTTATACCTTGCCATAAGTCGTAAGTTCCAAAAAACAAGAGTTGGCTATCCGAAAAGTAGCTATTCCACCTAAAAATTAAATAGAAATCATTGGTAATATAATGATCATCAATAGGTCCTAAAGTGCAGAACTTAGTTATAAATAGAAAGAATTTCATTGGTTATCCTTCCCATTGTTATTGAAATAACTTCAAATAACCTCTACCTGAAGTGGAAGTTGGCTCCAAAGGGCAGTAACTCAATCTCATTATTGAAGGAGTAAGTCTAATAATGAAAGATAACTCTTACTTCATACCTTCTATAGTCTTTTTCTCAAATAGTAAATAATCTTCAGCTCTGATCTCTCTCTGTTAGCTGAAACTCACAGTCATTCTTCCAGTCTTTATCATCCCAGTACACAACCTAAAATATCGTTTGTTTAGAGATTATAAACCTGTTCTTATCAGCTCCTTAGTTTATTAAACAAGTATACATTGTAAAATATAATTCATAGATGTTCTTATTTATAGCCATAAATAAGTAATTAAATATATATAAAATTTAGAAGTATGGCTGATACAGTTATAAATATTTTAAGTTAAATAGATATTATATATATTTCAAATGAACATTTAGGCAATACACCTTACACCAAAAACATTAACATAAACAATTTATGAACATTTTAAAACATGCACAAGACATAAACATACTACCATTAATAATTACAATAGACAGTTATGAATGCATCATATGAAGAAAAAAGATTGACTGATGTATGTTCAAATTGTTGAAATAGTAAATTGAAAGAAAATGAAATATTGTGACTTTTTACACCTTGAAAGAATTCAATAATATCCATTTTTACAATTCTAATGAATTATTTTACATTCAACCTTTTCAGTCGTTGAAATTTTTTGACTTATTTCCACAATTCCTAGTATTTTTGATAAAGAAAGCAAAGACTTTACTTTAATAAATGAGTAATATGCTTTTCTTGTTAGACAATGGATATTTTCTTAAATTCTGAATTGACTTATAAAAGTTCCTTTTTTTAAGTCATCTATGTACGTATATGTACTTCAGTCTTCTATCTTTTTTGTGTGTTATATTGTGCATTGTGTGTGAACATTTTATTATCATCAGCTTCTTTTCTGGGACTGCTGAACCAGTGACAAGCAATTTTGGCATATAGCATCTGTGGGTAAAGGGAAACAAACAGTCAAACATTGTGAATTTCATGCCCACTCCCCGCAGCCTATGGGATGGGAGCAAAACCATCAGAATTAATGCAATCTTTAAATAATCTTCTTCTTTATGGTTGGACAACAGTCAAACTTTTGGCACTAATGTAATAATTACAGAGCCCTTTAGCAAAATTAAAATTGACAGGGATTCTGGAGGAAGGGTGGAGATTTAGCTAGTAATCATACAATAAAAATGCATTATTACTTGGAAAATCTTCTTCTTTGCCCATAAGTCTTTTACATATTTACTTTTATACCGGTAGATCCTTTACATTGTTGTATTGTACTGTTTTATTATTCTCGGCTGATCACTATGGCCATTTGACATCTTGTAAATTTATTTAGAGGATATGCTTTAAAAAATTGTTATTAAGTGCCATGCAATTTTGTGAAACAGTGTAAAATTATCATTATTGAAGATAAAATAATTGTATGCAAAATTTCTTTCCCTACCAAGTCATTTGCCTGCAAACTGGACAAATATTAGACTTGGGTTCTGTATATCATGGTCTGTTTCCTCAGGCCCAGCAGTCTCTAATAGATTGATCTCTGATTTTTTTCAACCAAACTTTGGCAATTAATGAGCCTGGATGAATTCCATCGGCCAAAAGGGAAAAGTTAGTAAATTTCCTGAGTTTTGATGTTTTCTTTGTTCCTGATTTTGTTTTGGAGGTTTTGTGTAGATCTACCGAAAATGCTGGTGAATGGGTTTTAAGATTAGTGTTTATTTCTCTTATTTTGTTGTTTAATTTAAAAAGTTGTTCTTCTAGTTCCTTATCTTGTTCTTCAAAAAGTTGTGGGTTTGGGTGTCCTTTCTTTATATTCCAGGCTTTTATTGAATAAGGTGGTACTTTTAAGATGGTGACTTTCGAGCCTGGATATTTATTCATAATGTTAATTATCTCATAAAATTTTGTTTCTATATTTTCTACGACTTCATTTCTATTTTGATTTAGACTAATGTACTTATTGTTTCTACTGGTCAAATTGCAGGTACCTAACCAGACATAAAGCCACACATTTCCATATTTCCTGATTTTGTTATCTATGTTTCTTTTGAGCCATTCAGTACTGTCCTCAATCTTCGCGCCACTTTTAGAAAACCAAATAATGTCACAATTGGTCGTTATTGCTCTTTCGAGCCATTTTCCCTTACTATCAGAGAGGACAACAGGCTGGTATTTTTTTTTTCCAGATGGTTCTGGTGCGGGAAGATTTAAAAATTTCAAAAGTTTTGACTCAGTCATGATATGTAGTTGTCAGAGGAAGGTAGAAAGCAAGATGGTGGATGACGTCATGGAAGGATTATATAAATGTGCACAAAAGTGATTTTTGACTGAATTTTTACCATAAATGCTGTGCAAAATGAAACACAAACAAAACAAAAATGAAGATTGACACACACAAAAAACAAAGACAATAAACTAAATATAAAAGATGAAGAAAATGAACTAAAAATAAAAGACAAAGACAGTGAACAGAAGAAAATTTAAAAAAATGAAATAAAAATATGATATGTATATATAATATAAAATGAGTTAATATTTTCTTCATAAAAAATGTATTTACCTTCTATGGAAATTTCAGTCACTGTATCACTGTAATTTCAGTTTGCAAAATCCAATATTTGTTCAGGGGTTATTAAGGTCAATGTATTCACAATGGTATACAGTATAGCGCGGAGTCCCACACTGACTGAGTGTGACTACCTTGACCTCTTGTCCTGCACAAATATTGGAAAGCAAGATGGCAGATGACGTCACAGAAGGATAGGGTGTTTAAGAAGCTGCGTAGCAGTGGTCAAATCTAGTTGTGTCTGAGGAAATATATAATTATATGTATATTTAGAAAATAATAACTTTCACAATGCTGACATTAAACTGATGTCATTTAACAGTAATATAAGTAGAACAATAATGTTTTACAATTTTTGTAAGTGCATTACCTCTGATAAATAGAAATCCCTCTTTTATGTCTGTGTTAATCTCTCTTTCAGTCAAATCATAAACGTCACTTTGTTTTCTTTCTTTATCACTCCAGTATAGCACCTGTAATGCAAAATGTGAAAATAAGTGTCTGTTCTTATCCTGCTTTTCAGTTATATTAATATATTTTTTTTGCCATGAAACATACCAAATATCTAATATTGAAGATTTAACATTTCTATTCAAAAATGAGTGTATTTTCTTTAAAAAGTCTTAAATTCATTAAAACTTTTCGCAATACAGACACAAACAATTAGACAAAATTTTAAACCAAAAAAAAAACATAAACAAAAATAAATAAACACATGCAGTTAAAAGGTGCACAGAAGTATTTTATGTTTGCAAATCCTTTATAAAAATATGGATTTGAAAACATTGATTTCAACATGCACCTTAAGATATGGCTGTATAATATTTATAGTCAAGTGGATGAAAATCACTTTGCTTTCAGTATGAATTGGTTTACTTATATGATGTTCTATAAAAGCATGTTTCACTGTATGTCGATCTATTTAGAGTTTACTGACATGTGACATGCTAGTAAAAAAAAGTATGTACATCATAAAAACTCTATGTAAGTCAGGAGCATCCTTTTACTGAGATATTGTGATGAAGGTGATGTTATAGTTAATGTACTTATTATAGCCTGATTAGCCTCCACCCATTATATGAAATTTTAAAGTGTATCTCAAATTTAATGTGATTGAAACATATTAAATGGCAAGTGGAAGAAATTTTTTTTTCTAATTACTTTAAAAACTCCATCCTTATAACTTAAAATCTGTCCTTCCCAATCAGAGTTCCCCCCATCACTATTAGTCCATGTGTGTATTATTTCTTTCCCCACAAGGTCACTAGGAATCACATTAACACATGTTTGTCGTATATTCAGGAGTTGTAATAAATTATTTTTCAGTTGTATAATATCAAATTGTTTGCCCTTGCTCGAATACTGGCATAAATGTTTGTGCTCTTTGCTAATTTTAAAAACTTTTTTATACATATTTATCTGAGTTTTAAGAGCAGTTAGTTTCTCCTTCTTTGTTTTCAACTTTTCAAGTTCATTCTCAATCA